CCGTTCTCCCGTCTCCCCTCCAACAATGACAGCTTTTCCTGATTGACCCCACAGGCTTACGAAAAACCTTTTTACTTAAACGTGTATTGACCTCAGTCTTGCTGCCCAGTGAATTATGTCACAGCTGGCTATCTGAAAGTCATCAGTCAGGGCCCAGACCACAGGGCCCAGACCCCAGGAGCTGTCTCCTGGTGACACGGATCCGAGCCTTCATCAATGAAGGTTGTACCAGGTGCCTTTGTGTCTCTGGCAACTGGAAGGAGAACACCTTTTGTATGGTTTTTTTCTGTCATCATCCTATAGGCCTTGTGATTTTTTCCTTTCCTTCAATTTGTTTTTTATTTCTTTTCCCCATCTCTCTTTGTACTGTGTTTAAAATTTCCTTCCTTGCCTCAACCTCCCCTTCAAAGACAAAGCAAAGGAACTGTCAAATGTGACATCTTGGATGATCTTAATTCTTAGGTAGTGTTAATTTTACCAGTCTTTTCTTCCCCGTTTCCTATTTGATTTTTGTGATTTGTTGTTGTTGTTGTTGTTGTTTTCCCTGATGTGATTTTATGATCTGGACAAATGCACTGGACAAATGAGAAATTTAATGATACTAGAAATATTTCTCCCATATTTTGTAATGCAAAGTAATTCCAGTAGATCTTTTGCCCCATGACTTGGGATGTGCTGGCTTGTTGTCACTTTGTGGATGAGGGATGGGGATTTCACTCCATGAAATGTGAAGCATCACCACAAATTCAATCAGCCCTACTGTCTCTGTATAAGGATTGATTGAGTAGGAAGGAGGGAACTCAGTCCATGACAGACTTTGTAAAAGGAAGATCTGCGTTGCATTTGACTGAAACAGTAAAAATGCCATGAGTTTTCAGGCTTGAGTTCTTTTGGGGAAGAAGGGAGGCATAGCTTGATCTTCCTCTTCTAACAAACAAGAGCAAGGCTTGAGTATCTCACACCTTGCATAGGTGGCAGGGCCAGAAAAAGAGGGATATTTGCCTCCTTTCCCACATCTCAAAATAGGGTTACATAAACAATTCTTGACTTTATTCTATCTACACTGGAATATTCTGCTAACAAAGCTGGAAAAGAAAAAGAGCCTATTTTTAGCTCTTCTAGAATTAGTAGAAATACCACCTTGGTGACAGACCCATTTCTTGTTGGAGCTCGTGTAAGCCTGATTTTATATCTGTGGCACATTCCTTTGATACACCACTTGAATTCTTCAGCTCAGGAATCTCTTGAATTGGGGATACTTTACCTTTTCCTCGTGTCTTGACTTTAGGAAATGCAGGCAGATAGGGCTGGTGATAGCTCTGACAATGTGCCTGATGCTGTGGCCAGACCTGGCAAGGCAGGGCTGCTGTTGGCTCCCAATGTCCCCAGGGAGGCTGTGAGGGGCCTCGGCACCTCCAGTGCTCTGGATGGAGATCAGGCCCCGAGATAACAAGGTGATGACAAGCACTTTCAGAAATCCTGACACACAGACAGATAAAAGAAATGCAGTAATAGTGTGTAGAAATAAATCCTTCTCGTTCTGCTTTTGATCTTCTGACTTTCTTAAATATAAGAATTTTCTCATATAAGTTTCTTACATCATCCATAAACTTATGGTCTGCATTTTAACAACCTTACAAAATATTACTAAAAGAAATTGATTCAGGCATTTGTTTTAAAGACGCCAGATTAGGCACTATCTGTATTTAGATTAAAATCCTCCCCCGCAATGTTTAATATCTGTGGTACTGGCATGTGCAGCAAAGCCCGAAGAATGGAACTGGAAATTCCCTCATCTGCATAAATGCAAATGACTGAAGAGGTTGGACTGGTGGGAGAAAAATGAGTAGATTGTGGATTTTATTCTTCCTTTATTGATGTAAATTGCAGGCATGTGTAATGATATTTGTGATTTTAAAGTAGGCTGTGTCCCTTCAAAGAAAATGTGAGCTCATAAATCCTGGGAGATTAGAGATCCTGAGGCCCGATGTAGCAACGGCTCCGGGTTTATGGCATTCCTCAAGACAGCCAGGATAGGATGTTCTGTGACCTGGCTTTTATGAAGATCAAAAGGCTTGAAACTGTTGGGAATAAGATTTTCACATCATGCAGGGGGAGACACCAAGCTGTCAAATGGGAGGAGGCTCTTTGAAGTGTGGAGATAAGGACCCTTCTAACCTTCAGTCAGGTATGAAAGCCATTTCCAGCGGCACGGGAGCGTGTCCTTCCACTGGACTCTTGGTGGAATAGCCCAGCTGAGTTCATTCAGGCAAGCACCTGGCAGCATCTCAGCCACAGGGAATGTTGAAGTGGACTAAAAGGACTGGGAACATGTAAAAGTGAATGTATGAGGGAGGTGGGAGTTATAAGTGTTAATGTCTCTGGGACCAACGAGCCTGAGCCCAGCAAAGCTCCCGCTCCGGGAGCTGGAATCACAAGTGTGCTCCTCCGTGGATCATCTGTGTCTGAGTGTGGGGGTGCAGGTGGGAGTGCTCACAGAATGCTTCTGGCTGGGAGAAGGCTGTAGGGAGACACAGAGTGCCTGACACCTCTGTGTTCTGGCCAGGGAGCCGAGGCAGTGCAGGGACAGCAATTCACTGTAGGCCAGAGAGAGCTCGTCACTGACAGGGAAGAGCCGTGGGAGAAGCATTTGTGGAGCACAGCAGCACTTTTCTGACTGTCCCAGAGCTCCCCATCTAGCACAAACACTGACATGTTTGTTCATTCCCTTCTCAGATTCCTCAGAGGGGCTGGCATTGGCAGCTGCATCATCGTGGTGCCTTGAGAAAGCGCTTCTGCACAGCATTTCTCATGTAAGCAAAAGCTCTTAGCACTGAAAATCTTCCCAAAAAAGGATTCCCCTGAGCTTGTAAGAATAATTTCTTGTCACATTATAGAAATTTAAATGGCATCTAGACAAGATAAATATCCTTAATGTTTTGTCATCTTTGTGCTGATGATCTAAGGGTGTATTTTCTTTTGCATAATGACTTTCTAAGAGAAAACAGCTAAACAAGACAGAATAAAAATAAAATTTCATGACAGATGCTGACATATGTTTTCTCTGTAATAAGCTCAGTCCTTGGCTGACAATAAAATAGTAATTGTCCTTGGCCAACATCTTGAAAGCTGAAGGTGAAAACACAGTGGTGGGAATCACATGGCTTTATAATTAATGTCCAAGGATTTAATTCTCTCACAACATATTTTTTTTTTAACTGTGTCCTAATTATCACAGCTCACATTGATACTCTAGGAACTGTTGTAATTTGAATTAGTCATAAATAATTTCATAATCTAGTTCTCCTTGGAAAATGCCATTTCCTGTTGGAATGGAAGAAGAGCTTGACTGAGCTGCAGCCATGGGTTTTATTAAGGTGTTCTTTTTCTTCTCCAATGACTTTTTGTTTCTTTTGTAGTCATGTTTAGTTGTGTATTAGACTTTTCCAATGTATTTCAATGAGTTCAGAAGGAATTTGTGCAGGGAATATTATGAGGGCTGTCTTCCAAAGCAAAAGACAATTAATGAAAGAATGAAGTTGTACCAAATGGAACTTCTATTCTTTCCCTGATTCCAACAGTGCTCTCACACCCAGAGGCTGACCCATGTGTGGGGTACAAATATTCCAGCAGTAGGATTGCAGAGGGAGCTCCTTGTTTCTCTGAGCACAGTTTGCTTCTTCTTTACTCCTGACTGGCCAGGTTTTCTTTGCCATCCTTCTCAAAGCAGCAATTTCCCAAATACCAGAGCAGGGAGGAGTGTGCTGTCACCCTTCCACTCAGCAGTGTAATGAATAGTATCCTGCTCTAACGGGCCCACAGGTCCAATTCACAAGGAAATTGCTGTGTCCCTGTATCCTTTTAATTGTAGGGTTTCAAACCAAAATATAGAGACACACATCAATTATTATATTGTCATTTAATCTGGAATAAATCCAGTGTGAACCCTGAGTGCCTGGAGCTGGTCCAGAAGAGTGGCAGGAACAGGGCTGAGAGTCCTGGTAAACACCACAGGATTCCTGGGATTTGCAGGGCGTCTGTTTTGCTGCCCTTGCAGTCCCTTGGGCTGCTCTGGAGGAGCTCCTGGGTGACTGGTGATTTTATTAGGGCCTGGCACAAGAGAGGTAGGAACTTCTCAATGTGCTCTCAGCAGAAAAGCTACTGTGAAAAAACCTTGCTGAGGGCTTTGAAATCTGAACTGCAGCCAATTCCAGCTGAGGAATGTGGCAGTCACCTTTTGCTGTGAAGTTGCCATCTGAACAATGACAGTGTTTTGTGGTTTGAAGAGACAGGGAGCAGCAGGAAGAAGTGTCTGTTGTGGTTGGGATTGGGCTCTGGGAGAGAGCAGCCCAGGCCCTCAGCCCTTCACCTCAACACCCACAGTTGGACTTGTTTTGAGGGGACACATGTGCATCCCAAATTTTCTACTTTGGCAAGTTCCGTTTGGCTGGGCCATCTGGCCATGCTTCTGCTCCCTTAAAAGCTTTGCCTGATTAAAGAGTCCTGGAAGCTCAAGAAGGAAAGTCACAGGAGGGGAACAGGAAGGGGTCTTGCTAAGAGATGTACTATTCCCTAATTAAATAATAGCCTAAGAGGAGCTCACAGCTTGTAACAACCAGGGAGATTCTGCTGCTAATATTCACTGCAAAGCTGCTCTTCCCAGGGCCATGCTTCCCACCCCCAAACCCAGCTGTGCTGTGCATGTGCTGCACAGCTCTCTCAAAGTCCTGTCACGGAGGCTGAGAGTTGGAATATATTCATCCAAATTACAACATCTCATCTTTTGTTTTCAATTTGTTGGGACAAACAGCTCCCCTGTTACTATTTATGATTTGCCACTCCTGTAAGAGCTCAGCTGAAGTCATTGCACTGAGTCTGAGCTGGTTTGGTCTGAGAAATGATTGAATTTTCAGTACAGTGATTGTGGAGAGGAGCAGGGGAGGAGAGAGAGGCTGGTACCTGTTGTGTCCCTTTTACAGCTGGGGAGCTGAAGCCTGGCAGTGGAACAATTTGTTATCAGTCTGGAAAAGAGGTGATGGCAGGATCAAGACAGCAACTCAGCTCTTCTCCATTTGAGACAGAAACACCTTTTTTGACCTGTATTTTTGATGACAAATGTGCCTGAAATATGATACCAGCCTGAAATGATACCCAGCCTGAGAAATGGCTAAATGATATTTATGAACCAGGTCCTGCTGTCCTTGGACTTGATCCTGCATAAGCATATTGGAGGTGAGAACTGCTCTTTTCCCACCCAGGAACCCCAGTGCATCTCAGACATCTCAGATTTACTATTTGTGAGGGTTTTGCTTGGACTCTTCATACAGGACCAACCACAGATACTGCTCCAATGAGGTGAAGTCCTGGTAGAGTGCCTCAAGCACTGAAATCCCATGAGGACAAAACCATGGACATATCTAGGGATGCCAAGCACAGGTAAAGCTCCAATAGCATTAGACAGTTATGCAAACTCTTCAGTTACAGGTTTAGAGTAACCCTGACTTTTGGGCACCCTTCCTGAGTTGCATGAGGGCTGATATTCAGGATTCCTGTGGGTACTGAGGTCTAAGGAATTTTTAGGGTCTGGTTGTGAAACTTGCAGTCTTTTTATGGACCTTGTATTTTTATCTTATCCTGGCAAAACAACTGTTCTAACAAACTTCAGGAATTTACCTTGTGCTTTGTTCTGGCCTAAAATATGATCTGCCCCAGCCAGGGATACAAAGTCCAACAGTCCTTTGGGTTTATTTAAGTAATGGACCTTACATGGAGAGTGAGAAAATTCAGTTAGGTTTGTGTTCTTGTAAGGAATAGAAATCATTAAAATATGGGGACAGGGAAGTACAATTAGTGAAAATTAGCTGAGGTAGAGCCAAGTTAAACCAAAGCTGGCAACAAGGCATTGTCAGACACAGATTTTTGATGAACTGAACCAACACTCTGCTTGGGGTGACAGCCTGGTGTAACAAATTGGTGGCCATGAGATAGAAATAAACAGAAGTAGCAGTTGACTTTTTCCCAAAAGAGTAAGGAAATACTCAGATAAACAGATGTGTTACCCTAAACACCAAGACATCAACTTCTCTTCTTCACTCTGCTCTCAGTTTGTTGTATGGATGTGGCACAAGTGTCTTTACAAATCTGTTACAGCCACAGATATTTTCATCTGTCCAGCACTGTGATGTAGTAAGAAGCAATACAAATGCTATTTGCTGTTTGCTGAAGTAAGGGGTGAGGTGAAAAAGCTCAACTGCAAGATGAAATATCCCTGTAGAGGTTATACCACATTCCAAGAGGCTGTCCATACCCATCTCCCAAGGGTTAGGACTGTGCTATTGCAATTCTTCGTGAGATCTTTCTTACACAAGTTTCAAACCCTGTAACATCTCTCATTCTCTTGGTCCAGACTAGGAGCAGATGTTGGGAGAGGATCCAGGCCTGTGTATATGTATAAATCCCACTTCTTTCTACAGCTGTAATACACAGTATGTGCACCCTAATATCAGAGAGAGATCCAGAGCACAGGGTAGAGAGTAACCAGGATAAAGCAGAGTCTTGGGAGATTTCTCCCTATTCAGAAAAGCTGAAAGAATTTTGTTTGGAAAGCCAGACGTGGGAAGCAAAGGACAGGGGTGAGGAAGGAGGACTCGCTTTTAGTGTAAAAATGTCTGAAGGGAGTAGGGAAGTGTGAGGTTTCAAGGCTATGTGAGCAAGTGTCATGTGCAGGGATAAGAGACCCTAGATTTAGGCTAGAGACGAGCCAACAGGCAAGGAATTTGCTCCAGACAGAGTCCTTCCTAAACCCTGTGTGCTACTACAGCTAACAATCATGTCAATAGGGTTTAAAAGTGCTTCAGAGGAATTGGGAAGCAAAGATAAATAAGGTGGGTGGCTGAGGGAGGAATGGAAAGTCCAGTGGTTACTGAGTGAGGCTTGAGTGTGATGAGAATCCTGGCTGTGTTCCAGTACAAGATTTCCTATCACATTAATTATATTGCGACGGGCTCCAGGGTTTTCTGTGATTCAGACTTGGTGTATCAAAAATCACAGAGGTACACAGACATCAGGGGTGGGGTAAGAGATAATCTTGCTGTGTTGTCTCCCAGCCTTCCACAAAGATGCCCTGAGATTCCTTGGTGCTGTTCCCTCTGTGAAAAGTGGGCAGGAAGTGAGTGACCTACAGGGAACAAGGAATGACCAGTTCTGGGAAATGTCATGTTCCTCTCAGAAATTAACTCCATCCCCTTCCCTTTCATTAAAATACGTATGCTCTAGGATGGCATTTTTGTAACACTGGAAGGTGTTATTTGAAAAGTGTTTCTTGCTTTGAAAATATGGAAATATGGTTACTTAAACCTATATGAACATACTGGGAATGTAGTGGTACTGTCACTGTTTGTTGTGGGCAGAACTCTTGGCAGGTATCTCATGAAACTATCTGTTCAAACCAGGAAAACTAAGGTGAAGACTCTCTCCCCTCCAACTCTCTCTTTTTCCCTCCATCTGGGTGTGATGGCTGGCAAATGCCTTTGAGACTATGGAAGGACAGGAAATTGGTGTGGAAGAACTGAGGTCTGGGAAAGAGAAGTCATGGCAGAGGCAATTCCATTCTGAACAGCACTGAAACAAAAGCAAAAGCCAGACAATATTGACAAACAGAAAAAGAACAAGCGAGGAGCTTCCCAGCACAGTCTTGTAGTGAGCAAGGAGGGTCTGATGCTGAGTTTTCCAATCATGACTGTGCCACAGTTGCCTTCTGTCAGCTGCATATGAGGTAGATGAGGTAGAACATCTCCGAATAATGCCTAAGTCACTTTGCTGGCTTCTGTGGAGGGGAAAATAGGGGTGTAACAAGTACCCTTCCCTGGGAGAGGGTGTCATGCAGTGTGTGGAGCCAGGATTGCTTTAGACCTGGAATCTGAAGATTGTAAGGCCTGGCTTTTACTGACACCATTGGGGTAGGAATGGGTTTAAAGTCTCTTTTATCACTAAAGTCTGGAAGTGTAACCCAAGGAGGACAGAAAGCCACCAGAATCCTGTGGATCACCAGAATCATTGTGACCACTGTCATTCCCTTTAGTGCTAGAGGTGAAGACTTAAGCTTTGTGCTGGCCAAGGAATTCCTTCAATGAGGAGTTAGTCTTGGAAGACTGATTCCAGATGCTTTTTTCCTAACCAAAAGTAAGTAAAAGAGAGGAGAATCGGGTCCTTTCTGGAGTACCCATCTGCCCTCCCAGCCTGGTGATGCATTGCCTGGAAGACCTGGAGCATCCTCTACTTGTGCCTCCTCTTGTGTGGCCAAAGCAGAGTTAAGCCTCCCGTCCCTCTCTTCCCCCCATAAAAGTGCATGATGGGATTCTCTTTCCTGCCTCTCCCTCCTCTCTCCAGAGCTGTGTGTTTGAAATGATATCTATTTCTCTTTGTGACAGCACACCGTGACTGCTGCCTTGACATTGTGCCGAGCTGACATCCCAACCGGTCTGACACTGATGCCTTTGGGCAGAAATCAGAGCCGGTTTGCTCCATGGCTCCGTGCAGCCACGACGCCTGTAGCGCCTCGCAGAGCCCCCAGTGCCCTGCTGGGGAAATGGAGCGAGCACGTGGGCCCCAGATGAACTCCGGGAAGAGCGCAGGCGTTACCTGCGCTCATCCTCCTGCCCATTTCCAGCTTAAGTGTTCGCATTCACATGGGTTTATTTATTTTTATTTCTCCCCCCCTTCTTCTCTCCCTCTTTCCCTTGCCTGTGAGAGGGTTGGTTTTCTGTTTCTCCCCCGGCTGCAGAGTCCTTGGGGAGCTGGGTTTCCGTGAGCTGGAAAAGGAGCGCACAAGCGTCTGATCAGCCCTTATTAGTGTTGAGAAAGATCTAATAGGTCCTGGCTTCTGGGACCATTACCTGTCATTTACTTTTATTAAGTCAGTGATGAGAAAGTTTAAAATTAAAGGCTTTGTAAATTGGATTCCAGTTCTAAAGGAAGGCACCGACCAGGAAATCGGTGCCTAAGCTTGCAGATGGACCACTGGGAACAGACTGGGGTGTTTCTCTTCAGCTGTTTGACAAAGGTCCTGTGCCAGGGCATGGAGGGGACAAAGCCTTGGGGTATCTAGAAACCTTCATGGCTATATGAACCATGTAATCCCTCCTTTGCCAGGCTACTCAGGTTCAGATCTCCTGTTCATGAGGCCAGAGGGGTCTTCTGGTTGAGCCATTACCCAGGCTGGGAGCTCTGTTCCAGCTGAAATGATCCCAGGCAGGTCATGTCATCTCATCTCCCCATGGAGAGATTTTCCTGGTTTATAAGGAGAAGAACCTCATGCTAGTACTGATTTTGTTTCTTACCTGTTGCCTGGTTTGGGCACTCAGCTGTTTGGGGCTGGTACTCTCCTTGGCTCTTGTGCTTCAAGAGAAGCTCTAACTCCTTTGGGTGTTCCAGGCAAACAGACTTTTGTTAAGTCTGTAGCAGAAAGCAAATAAAAGGGATGAGCCACCTAGTAAAGTTAAACATCTAATTCTTAGCACAGTTTTATTCTCTGCTTTTGAGACTTAATCTTTGAATTAATCACCCAAACACACTTGTGAGTGAAACACCCCAATTGCACTAAAGCAGTGCAGCTAATTATGGTGTGACAAGGGAAGCTCAGGGGCCAACCCCAACCAAGAGCTGCTGTCACTTCTGTTTTCTCAGCTGAATAAAAGTCTCATGGTGACATTGCTCTGATGAGAAGCAGCATGAACTAGTGCTTATAAGTACAGTCTGGGAATCAGAATTCTTGGTTCTTGTGTCTCAGTTTGTCTTTGACTGGAGTGACATGAGGGAAGTCACCTGAGGTCAGGATTTTAGGCTGCCTTGTGCCCATCCTTGCATTGTTAAATACACAAGTTGTGCTTAAACGGCTTTGCATGAAGATTTGAGGTCCACATGGTGTCTCTGAGAGGTAGAGTACAGAGCTCCAGCAAAGCACAGGGCTTAGCCATTTAGTAGGAGTTTGCAGAATTAAGTGTTTGCCTCCTGAAGGGAGAATGAAACAGATTCCCTTCAAACTCATGGTTTCTTGGAAAAGTTCACCTCAGGTTCTCCCTGCGTGTCTTGGCAGTTTTAATCTCCCTGTGTTTTGCCAGTGTTGTTATAATTATTGTTGGTAGTATTGGTATTATTATTGTTATTATTACATCATACTGTATTCACTTTTAACAGGAGTGAGATTTGTGAACATTTGGAAAGGATACTCTCTGCCCATCCCCTCTAGCACCCCTATAGCCAAGCTCCAGGTGTCAGTTCCCACTTTTAGGAATATTCTCCTGTTTTTATAGAACCAGGACTGAGAACAGAGGCTCACACTGTACAAATCCACACCCTTCACCTCCTTTCCCCAGAGAGACTCCAAACCACACGAGCAGGAGGTGAGAAAATTTACCCAGAGGAAACTGTGACAGGGAGGAATGGCTAAGGAGGGGCAGGGAGTGGGCACTTGGGCAACCCTGGACCCAGAATTCCTGCCAAGTGAGGCTAAGCATGTGTTGACTCTTGGCCATTTTTCCTGTCTGTCCACAGGCACAGCAGCTCCTTGACTTCAGCTAATTGCCATGTTCCCTCGAAGGAGGAGTGATGCCTCACCCAAGTTTCTCTGCTATGGATGTGAGGAGCTGATCTCGGAATTATTCAGTGGTTTCTTACATCATTCCTCTGTTCCCAGCCATGCCACAAGGCTTTCAGAAGGTAATCTGGGGAGATTTTATCAAATGTAAAATGTTCCTAGACATTACTGGAGCCATGATGTAATGATCCAAGGTTTTTGTTCTTTAAATTCCACTGAAAAACCACAGGCCCCAAAAAATTGTTGCAGGGGAACTGATGAGTTTTAAGAAGGAGGCTGAGATCTTGGGCTGGGCTGAGACATTCTAGGGGCAATGATGGGAGAAAAGGTTTCTGTAGGTCCTGTGTTTCTGGCCTTGTAAGGTCTGGACTGAATCTCTGAGGTGGGCAGCAGCCTCTTCCCAATACCCACTCCCTGGTTTCTGCTGCCTGCTGGGAAGTGCTGCCAAAGGAGAAGGCAGCAGGACGTCACTGCTCCTGATTTCACAGAACCACGGAATAAGCTGCGTAGAATGTTGGGAGCTTTGGTATTGGTATAAATTGTGGCTGTTCCCATTTTTTTGAAGACAATTCCAACCCAAAATTTTGCTGAAAAAGACCAAACTCATGGTCCCTTCAAGTAAGAGAGCTCTCTTAGGATCATCCATGCTTGGGCTGAGGGCCTGGTTTACAGGACCTCAGTGCTTTAAAAGGCCTTAAAACCCTTTTCAGAGGGACAGTGATTCCTGAGTGACACAAAGTCTCCCTGGCACATTTATATCTGCCAGACTGGGATGAGACTGTCCATGCTTTGATGCTTTGGATTTCAGTACCTGTTGAAATCTCCTGAACAAATGGTGCCATTAATTAGGGGGCCTGGCTTTGGTGAATGGTGCACAGGGGACAACATTTCATTTTGTCTGGGGGGAGTAGGCGGGATGGGGCGTTTTGGAGTGTTCAGTGATGCAGGAGAGGTCCTGGGTGTTGCCTGATCAAGGGGAAGCTGCTTCCTTTCTCTAGAGTGCTGTAAAGTCAGTGTCAAGTCACTGTGGCATCTGGGTTATGTCACCTGCTGAGGGGGCTATGCTTTATACATCAGATTTACTCAGACAAAAGCCAATTCATCCCTTTATCTAAAAAACTTCTGGAATTTCTCTAAGGGTTACAAATAATTTTGTCCTAAATGGTCTCTGCCTGCCCCATCACCAGGCCAATGAGTTTGGGGTTCAGATGAGACACATGAGATGGGGGAAGGCCATGGGGTGTTCCCAGGGAGAGCCCCAGGATCCTACAACCCTATTTTCCCCATATCCTTTTGAAACTCCCAAAACAAAAATTGTTCATATGACAACATTGTAAGAAAGGTTTGTTCCTGAAGTTGGGGAATTTGTTTTTTTGCAGATTTGATTTAGTTTCTTATTTGTGTGGATCATTATGTTTTAGTGCTGGAAGTTCATGCTTATGCCAAAAAATTGAATTAATTTTGGGGGCATCTGAAAGTTTTGTTGTGTGCAGACAACACACTACTTGTCATTTCAGTCTAATTAATTGCAGCCATCTGAGAACATCTCTGGGGGGTTTCACAAAGGGTTTCTGGACAGGATAAAGCAGTATTAGAAGACTTTCCTTCTGGAACAAGAGGACTGCTTTCAGGACTGCTGGGTGATAGCTTTGTGAGCTGATGGGGTTGGTGGAAAACAAGGCCGTTCAAAAGGGAAAGGAAAAAGAAAGAAAGTCAAAGACAGCGCCATCAAAACTAAGGATAATGGGAGGAGAGTATTCACTCCTTTAAAGCTCCCAAAATGACAAGGAACAAATGGGAGTGTGGGATGTTCCCTTGTGGTCACGAGGAATCTCAGCAAGGACAGAAGGCGTGATTCCTTTTAAGTGAGTCTGGTTTACACTGAAGATGTTTACGTGATTCACTCATCCATGTTCCAGTTTAGTGATTCATGATTCACTTCAGGATTAACTGAATCATGCCTTAGGAATTTCTTATTGCTGACTTTAAAGGTGTTCTGATGATACTGGATCAGGTGAAGATATCTGAACTGCATCCATCTACCTGGGTCAGAATTAGACACAGGAATATTCAGTTTTGTGCACCTGGTTAAATGCTTGAATATAAGGTGAAACTCCAGATACCTGATACTCAGGTAACCCTAAAAACTAGACATAGAGTGAAGAGTCAGAAGAAACTCCATGCAGGTCCTGAGAACATACTTTTTTAAAAAAAAACTAAAAAATTATTTTTTAAGCTAAGAATACAGTTCTTTCTGTAAGAATTTTCTGTTTAACTTATTTGATCTTTCCCAATGAAATTGCACTGAAAAGTTTCCTGAACAGCTCTCACAAGAGAGCAGGCAGAACTCTTCAGGTGATGAGTCTGAAAAAGGTAAAAGGAAATAAGTTGTGTCTGAGCAGATTGCAGAAGGCACTGCCAGAGAATCCAGAGGCCAAAGGTGTAAATACACTGAAGGTACATTTAGGAGTGCAGCTGCAGGGTGGCTCCATGGATGGCTGTGCTGGCCACCTGATGGAGGAACTCATTAAGCAAATTACTGTAATAGAAGCCAGGTAGAGCAGGGGAAGATGAGTGCTGGGAAGACCTCAGTGTTGTATTCTCCTTCACACAGTGGCTTTTGGTAGAGATCAGTATCGAGCTGCATCGATTTTTGGTCCAATGGCATTTCTGATGCTTGTTCTAAGGACTTTGCCTCTTGAGAGAGTTTTGGAAGGTGACACAGGGTGTGTCCAGGCTGCCCTTGAGCCCTGTGTGCACACACTGACCTGTGGGGCCTGCCCATTCTTATATCCATGTAGGATTTAGGGGATCCCACCCTTTGCTTGTTTCCCATGGGGCACACAATGGCCCAAACCAGGCAATCCTCCTTGTGTTAGCAGTTCCCAAAAATACCGAGCAGGGGATAAACTCCAGCACTGTGCTTTCCAAACAGGCTATGAAACCAAGAATGAGAGACAAGTGTGAGCCTTCCTCCAGCCCCTTCTGTCATCTGGGCATGCTCGTGCCACGTGTCACTACAGACATTTGGGACATCTGGAACGGGTTCATGTGAGTCCATGGGGTTTGGATCCTTGTGCGTGGGAAATCCCTCATCCTCTGCTCATTCCCCTGACAGGCAGCTCCTGCCTCCGCATGACAACACACAGACAGATCCTGTGCAGAGTTAATGGAGGAGGATGTTCTGTTTGGGTTCCAAAATTGTTCTCACAGTAACATCTTCTGATGTTTAGCCCTACAGATGGGGCAGGATCTTACATCTAGCACAGATCCTCATGTGTAAACCACTAGAAACCACTTATTTTGTTACTTCAAGGCAAGACATGCTCTCATCCTCCTTGGTTTTACACGTGATTAAATCCATTGATCCAGTTTCTGCCTCACCACACTGGAGCCTTCCCAGCTGAGGATCTATTTCACACCTCCCAGCTGAAAGACACCCAGCCCAGGTGAGCACACACCTGCAATCCAGCCTGGCCAAGGGATTTAAACACATCCTGGCTGAAACTGGGCCTAAGGTGGGGTGAAAGCTGGTGCTGTGGGGGCATGTGAAGTGAAAAACACATAAAAAATAGGTAGGGCATAAACTTGGAGCCATTGTTTACTACATTTTTATGTCGTTATATGGCAGCTGTCTGACCTCCTCACCTGATTTGCAAATAATCTTGTCAGGACAAATTAGCCCATGCTGAGCCTGTGCTGTTGAGACTAGATGGTTATCAGGACTTGCACTGGTGAGTTTTAAGGTAGTTCTGGGGTCTCTGCAGTGTACTGGAGTCCCTGTGGCAGTGACTGCAGTGCAGAGAGGCTTTTGTATTAACCAGAATGAATATGCACAAACCCTCTTCTGCAGAAACCTGGAATTAATGCTTTTCTGAGCTGGTTTATTTCAGGCCATTTTCACTACAGGGGTGAGTGTTGAAAATAAAGATTTAAACTCCATTTTAAAGTGCAGCTCTGAACGCTGTGAATTGCTTAATTCATCTTAATAGAGGTGTTCACTCTGAACCTGAAAAGCTTTTAGTTGAGATTTAGCCTGTGGTTTGATATTACAAATTGCTTGGTGGTAACATTGGTTTAAGACCCTGTTGTCTCTCAGCCTCTTGTTCCTGCTGCCCTGCTGGCACAGCCACTCCTGTGGTTGGGAACCAGGTGGGAGGAGCCATCCGGCTTGGAAAGGGGAAAAAAAAAGGTTTCGTATGTTTGGTTTTTTGTTTGTTTGTTTGTTTAAAGTAGGAAAGTTCCTCTGTCTGGTTCAGTGCCTGGTCACAGCGAGTTTTCCTGGCACAAGCGAGTGGAAAGAGCACTTTGGCATGGAGAGGAAATGAGCAGCAGAGGGTGAAAGGTGAGCAGCAATTACTGGTGCTGGGAATGCCCCAGTGTACTTTAATACAAGCCCACAATCTGCAGCTCATCTCAGCATGTGAAAAATGTCCAAATACCTTTCAAATTGTAGGGTTTAATCTTTGTTTTTAGGTGTCCTGCCAGGCACTTCCCATTTGTGTCCTTATCCCAGTTTCCAGACATCTTCAGAGGCTTCCCAGCTACTGTGTCCTGCAAGTTCAAAACCCTGCAGCCCACTGGGACTGGGAATGTGTGAAGGAGCACAAGGATTGGAGTTGAATGACAGTGTAAGTATCAGTTGTCACTGGAAGGAATGTTTCCTTTATTTCCAGAATGAGTTCATTGAGAAAGAACCAGTTTTAATATAAAGGAAAGCTGGGTTTCCACGGTGACTTTCTCAAATTTAGAAGATCTTGTCCTTTAAATCCAGTTTGCCATGGGACATAAAGTTCATTTGCTATAGACTACATCAAACCAGCTGAGCTCAGAGAAGAATATGGTGAGGTGCTTGGAAAACAAAAATAATTCTGTAAAAAACAGACGTTTGTGGCACTAGAAAGTGGGAAATTATTCTTATTGGAAATTAGTCACCCCACTCCCAGAAACAGAGTTGCCTGATAAATAAATTCCCTGCAAAGACTGAAAAAAACAAGCCAACCCAGAACAGTGGAATACCCAAATGATTTGGTTAAAGAAATATTTGTTTTGTTTAATAAATTATGATGGTTTTGATAAAATTTTCCTTTGCAAATTTGAGCTGTACTTGACAGGAGAAAATTGAAACCTCCAAAGCCTGTGAAAAAATGTGTCTGCCTTCAATCCACATCCACAGAGCAAGATTCAAATAGTTCCCATCAGTATGTGGCATACAAGTGGAAAGGGCAGCTTAGCAGAGTTTCTTGGGTTATAAATAGTAATGTGTATTATTATTATAGTGCAGTGACACAGCTGGAAATCTCAGGTCTCTCCCTTGATTAACATATCTCATTAGTGGGACTGCTGGGCCCTGAAGTGTGGAGTTTGCTCTGGAGCTCAGTGGGAAACTTGTGCTGGCAGTGGGAACCCCATTTCCCTCTCCATCCTTTACCAGCAATGCCCAATGCTGTGAGAAAAAGCAAGAGATGGAGAGAGGAATCTCAGATTTCTTCCCAGTGACACAGACAGAGGCAGCTCAGGGGAATCCTGCCCAGCAGAGGTTAATGTGACCCACATATAATTGTGTGAAAAGATGCCACTCTGCGCCTTTGTCAAAGAGGCTTCTTGTTACAGCCCGAGCTCCTCAGTCCCCAGCCCCTTCAGCAAAGCACAGTTTTCTTGCATTAAATCACCACTGCCCTCTTGCCAGCTGCTTAGAGTTTGCACATTATACAGAGGAGATATCTAATATATATTTATATATTTTTAAAATGTGACAGATTGTCTTGTAACATATGTGGTACTGCCTTGAAATGAGCTCCGTGCATGTGATGGCCGAGCCAGCGGCCCCCGTGTGTGTGTGTGTGTGTGGTTTGTGTTTTATTCCTTCTGCTGGAAATCTGAGAGCCTGAGACACTGGAGCTTTTCATGTTGCTTTTTCTCTGAAATATTCATGACGAGTTGATGACCTTGATTCTTTGATACCTGCCATTTATTTCTGTGCCACTGCTGATAACTGCTGCTAAGTACATATGTCAGTGCCATGGTTGAATGAGTGGGATGATAAGGAGAGGGAGAGCATCTCTGGGATTCATGTGCTGGAATAAGATTACTTTAGAAACTCTGAGGGCATTTTAGGAGCCTGCCATGCCAACTTATTCACCCCACTTTGGTTTTTCTGACTAGAGTCTGTTTTCTTTGCTTCTCCTCCAGCTTTTTCTTCTGACTTGGAAATGTGCTAGGTCGCTGCTGCTTTTCTCAAAGATGATCCTTGGCTCACTATCAAGTGAATTGCTAATGAATTAGTTACACTTACATTTTTAAAAAAGAGATGTGAGTCTGGGGACACCCAAGGAATACTTCTTCAGCCAGAAACAGGTTCTCACTGAAATGGACTCTGTGAAGTTGGATTAGATGATCAGGGCATTTTGGTGCCCTTAAGGACAAGGAAAGATGAGGGTAGAGCAGAGGAAGATAAGATGAAGAGTAGGCAAGTAGGTAAGCACCAGTACCACCTTGTAAGTGTGACATTCAGGCAGGCAAATCTCGTTGATGTTTGTGAAACCATTCTTTGGAAGGAGTCTAGCCTGCCTGCCAGGCGCAAGATTTTGAGGGTGCTGGGTAAAAGCAGTGACAGAAAAGGTTACAGAATTGACAAAATAATTAAATATATGGGGAAAGATTTCCTGAGTGAAAATTAAATTAAATCCAACCTGAACCAGTTTTCACTGACGTTGATGGATCAAGGGGGCCAGTGTGGTTCCTTTTGACTGCACATTATTCTGTGGTCTTCCAGAGACATAACTGGTGTCAGGGCCTGGATTCATCCTGCTCTGTTCAATTGTTCAGCTGACATATGGGATTGGGAGACCTTGGGCTGGCTGGTGTGCTGTAGGCTCTGCAGGGGTGATCTGGAGAGGGAAGGCTGGTGCTTTCAGCCTCATTCAAGCTGGGCTTTGGATGGAAATTGGAAAGTTCAGATGGAGGCAGCTGGTCCCTGTCTGTTGGATGCTGAAGATGGGACTCTGATGAGATGTATTTACAGAGTTTTTCTTCACCTAAACTGGGAAGTGAGGGAAGCCAGAGCAAGGGAGACAATGGAGAAAAGCCTCTGCCATGGACTCTCTTCTCACCATATTTCATCCAGAAAATTGCAGTGCTGTCTCTTTTCTGGGCTGTCACTTTCCCCTCTCAGAAGTCACAGCACATGGCTGTACTGCAGAGCACATTCTCTTGAAGATCCCTTCCCTGTGAGAAAATACAGGGAAAGGAAAGAGAACACAAGGATGGAAGTAAAATAAGCAAGGCCTAAGGGGCTTCTGCACATGTTTGTTGAACTGCAGCATCCTGGAGAGGCAGGAGATAAGGTGGCTCAGGGAATGCAGCCCAGTCCAGAGAGGCATTTATTTAAGATTGATATCAAACCTTGGAATTGTGAGTGGGAGGATTTTTGAGGAAGGAACAGGATGTTGTCAGGAGGGAGGGAGGCTGGCTAGAATGATTTATTGTGAGGGTCAGTGGCAGGAAGTCACTGGAGATATGCGATGGTCTAAAATGCAGGCCAAGGAACCCGCGTGCGGACACTGTTTTATACTCGGAGATCCTGGCTCCTCAAAACAGGGCCAACAGAGTGACTGGGTGGTCTAATTTAGGGTCATCCTTGGTGGTCCTGCATGTGTGTGTTTTGGTCAGCTTCCTTGTCTGTGTGTGTCTCTGTGCACAGTGACCCGTCCTGCTCTGGGGTCTGTTACAGAGGCTTCACCACTAAAAAACATTTCACTGTACTTGCAAGAGAGATTTCAGGCCCTTCTTAAGGCAAGCAGTCACTTGGTGCTTACACAAATAATTGTGCACATGGGGGAGTGAAGTAGTGATGTTTATTATTAGGCTTCCCTCCTCCCCATAGGAAAATTCCCTGTGACCAAAGAAACGAAGAGACTGGCAAGAGCAGAGGAGTTGTGATTGGGAATGACCTCTAGGGCCATAAAGAGCATTGGGGAGTTCAGCTGGATGGAAAGCTTTCACTGTTTGCCTGTCTGAAATCTGCAGCTCTGTGGTTATCTCAAGCAGGACTCCTGTGGGCAGCCATGCTTTTTGATACTGATGGCTGTGAATAAATAACTGATCACTAAGCACAGCCACCTTCTGTCTAACCTACTTCTGAGTGCCACTTCTGTGTTTTGTGCTGTCCTGGTCTTCTGGCCCAGTCAGACCTGGAGTCCTCTTGTGTCAAGAGCAGTTGTCCTTCCTGAGGAGAGAGGTGTCACAAAGAACTTGAGTTCTTCAAGAACTTCAACAAGAATGAGTTGAACAGGAGTGTGGAAGGGTTTTGGCTCCCTGGGAAATGCAGTGTGGTGGAGAAGGCAGCAGTGCTTTGGAGTGAATGGAAGGGTGCCCTTTGACTTCAGGTGACCTTAAATGACTTGTCAGAGCTCACACAGAAAAGTTAGAGCTCAGAGACAGGACTAAGTTCATATCTTCTTTGTAGGGGTGAACATCCAGACAACTCTCCCATATCCCTGTTCAGCCTCTCTTTACTGCAGACTCGGCTGTGTTGTGGTTTCCCTCAGAGCATTCCTCCCCTGCTGCTCTGCTTTTGTTCCTTTCTGCAGCTCTTTGGGCTGTCCCTGCTGATAATGGCACCGATTAGAACAACATGAGGGGGTGACATCTGAGTTTTTCATGCTGTCCTTTTATCTAATGTCCCCCAGCTCGTGGTCCTGTTGTCCCTGCACAGCTTGGTCTGTGGTGATGTTCACCCTCCTGCTTACACTCAGTGAATGATTTATCATCTGTTATCAGTAGGACTCTGTACAGTGTCCAGGGACAATGTTTTCTTCCATCTGGTTCCAACCTGGTGGAACACCCTTCCATATGGTTTTCACATGTAGTTCTCCCAGTACCTCCTTTCTATTTCCCCTTTCTGGATTCATCATTATGCAGTTTGTCTTTATAAATTAACCACACACATTAATTAAAACTTTAGTAAATGTGGATATTCTTAAATGACTGAGAAAAGCTTCCCAGCTGGGTGAATCTGTCTTCTGGGAGAAATATCCAGTCCCATGACATACTGGGAATTAGTTGCTGCAGCGTTTCACGCCACTCTTCAGGCACACATCAGCCTGGGGCTTGTTCTGGAATTAGAACGTGTGGGGAAGTCTTTGGTTCAGTTCTGTATTATGAAGGTGCTGGTTGCAGTTACAGGTTCATGGTGTGGGCAGGACAAAGACCACAAAAACATCTTTTTATGTAAAATGTCTTGAGTCACTGACAGAGATTGCCCATGATTTGATATTGGACATTCCAAGAGCCAAACAGCTCTGTCTCCCCAGTCCTCTGGGTGATCCAATGCCCTCCATCAGGATCCCTTGCTGCTACATTTGTTGGTCTTTGCAGATAATTTTTGTTGATTTTGTGTTGTTAGACCTGGTAACACACTTTTATCTTATCTGCCTTTTTCTCTTTTTTGCTCTCTGTGTCGTTTGCCATCCCAGGATAAATAGGGAGCCGCCTGCCCCTGGGGGCCATGCACTGTGTTCCTCCCCCAGAGTGTGCAAATATTTGCAGCAGAGCAGCCTCTGAGCCCCGAGACGTGAGCAGCGACACGAGGAGGTGCAGCCCAGGGCAGGGGCAAGGCCAGAGGGTGTGAAACCAGCACACAGCCCCCGGGGTAAGTGGCCTGGGGACTTTAGGAAGCTCCTGCCTGGTCTCCAGAGCAACAGGGAAACAGGGACTTGACTTCAGCACGTGCTCCCACTGCTGGGATGTGCTCATGTGATTCAGGAGCTGTTTCTTCAGAAAATTTTGCCTCTGAAGTGACTGACACCTTCGATCTGGCAGTTACCTGGATTATCACCCCTCCGTTATGCCCAGTTCAGGAGCAGAGGATCTCAAGTAGCTTGAGGTGTTTGGAGTGTCTGTCCAAGAGAAACAAGCCATTGCTAGTGCAGCTCTCACACCAGGGAGCATATGAAGCAGTAATTTTTTTAGCTGTTGAGGTCAATGTAAGCCAGTATTCTCACCAGAAAAAGATATTTCCATTTTTCCTTCTTCTTTTACCTACTCTTCCATGCTTTCTGCTCTTTCAATAGCACAGATGTTCTTAAAGCCCCATGATAGCCCCCACACATCTCAGAAAGGAACTGTGGTTGCTGTTATCTTAGATCTGTTGTGATCTAATTCACTTTGTTGTGGAAAGCACGTTTTTGTCACTGTGGTGTCCCATTATGGTGGTGCTTCTGTTCCCTGAGGGATGCCCAGGACTGGTAGAGACCTGTGCTACTTTGTCCCTTCAGGGTTCCTCCTCCTTGCTGGCTCTCTCACCTCCCTCACCTTGCGTTTGGGGGTTCACCAGGACGGTTCCTCTGTGCTGGCTTTGGGGGTTTTGCTGTTTGCTCACGGTTGCCTTTTCCCGGTTTGAAGTTTGCCGGCCCTGGGGCCAGTGACCCCTCTGAAGCTGCTGGGGTTATGGCCAGGGGAGTTATTCCGTGTCCATCAGGGCTCTTGGCCCACACTGGATCCATCCTGAGGGCATTGACTGATGGCCCTGTGCCAAGCAGGGTGACCCTGGTCTGGAAGCTCCCCTCCCTCCTGCAGGGCCCATTTGATGCCCATGGAAGAGGTGCTCAGGTCATCAAACAGCCAATTAAAACTATCAAGAGGGAGGAGTGGAAAAGGAGGCCTTAACTCTTTCCACCCCATCATAAACATCTTTGTGGAGCCATATTTTTCGGCCAAAAGGAGGTGTGTGAGGGAGGTAAAAAAAAGGATCCGTCTCCATAAAATTTATCTGTGGGATCTCTTTAAAAATTGACTAAGCAGAGATCAGGAAACAATTAACTGTTTATGTAGCTGTCAGTTATTTAGGGTCTGGATCAATGGCTTTCTTTTCCATTTCATATTTTATTTCTGAAATGCACATCATAAAGCAGCCCATGAAATTCAGCATAGGGTAATGAATATGTAAAAATACATCTCAAACTCCAACACTGCTTGGAAGAATTGAATTTTCTATCATGGCTGTTGCTTTCTGAAAAGGAGAAGGACACTCCCATTACAGCTACTGGCAGCTGACAGCAGGCAGAAGGCAATAAATTTAGGAGTTATTTAGCATCAGCTTCTGAATTAATGGCATCAGTAGGGCGTGCTCTTCACTTGAGGAACCTAATGAGGTAGGAGTGCTAGAGCTGGGAATTAAGAGCACCACTGGGATCAGGGGTAATAAAAGGTCTGTGATCTGCCAGGGGCTGATGCTCAGACAAGTGCAGGGTCAATCCCAGTTGTTTCAGTGCTAATTTAGGGCCTCTGTTGTAAGATCATGCAGCCTTTCCTAAAATGCCTGCAAAAATTCATGAGAACCCAGATTATTTTGCCTGTTGAGCAAAATCTACATTTACTCTGAAGTTTTCAGGTACCAGTGTTATGGAAATGCTGACAAAATAAAGACTTGCTGAGGGCTAAGTGTAGAAAGGTTACTTTTTGAACAATTCATCACACACTCAATTCTGGATCCAGACACAGAATTTTGGAGTGGCACTGTCCTGTACTTCAGTTTCCAGCCTTTAAAAGAGGGATCAACTGCTTTTTTTTCCCCAAGGAACACTAGAATCTATGCAACACATTAATGCTAAAAATGGTCTCAGTGTCTGAATAAGGAAAGACCAAAAAATCCCATTCTCCCCTTCAGAAGATAACTCTGTTATACTTGAGTGCAGCACACACTCCTCCCAGATCTTCCTTCACCTGCTTGTACTTGTTCAGTTTTTGCTCTAATATCATCATCTAACTAATGCAAAGGCATTGAACCCATTTTCTGACTGTTGGGTAAATGATGGTTAAGTGTCAGGAGATTTATTTAATTGTCTAGCTATTAAAAAGAAAAAGGTAGGTCTGCTGAGTGAAAGCTTTTATGCTTTTAAATGAGGTATTGTTGTGATTAGAGTTTAAACAGCAATGATTTCCTCAAAAATGCATTGTCAATAATCACTGGCTTGTTTGATTGTCCACATAACTGTACCACCCTCACTGCCAAGAAACTCATCTGACCCACCTGATAAGAAGAGCTATTTTTTTCCGTTAAGTGTGCAGTAGATCTAATGCTCAGGGCCAGGAACATCTTCATTAGGCAGTACGGAAAGTGAACACATTGTTCACGAACCAGCCTCCAGAATAATGGACTAGAGAGACTTCAGAGGTGAGGGATGGAGGTTGTGGGAATGGGAAAGGGGCTTAAAGCTTCACAAACCACATACAGAGAGGATTTGAGTGGGATATGGGCAATTGATTCCCTTAAGTGTCTTTGAAGAGGCCAGTCTAGAGGTGGAGAAACTCCAGATGACTCATTGTGATCCCACTCGGTCTCATCACAGCAGCTCAGTACTCATTTTACTCTTTTCTGTGGATTTAATTCAAAAAGCCAAGAGTCCAAAGGTAATTCAGCTGGCATAACCCAAACCCACAGCAGCACCATGGCAGGTTCCTGGGGTGAGGTGATGACCTGCAGGTGAGGTGGATGCTCCTTACCTTACCTGGCTGTCTCAGGGACTGATTTGAGAAATGCAAACAGGCCAACCCTTTTCTTTATGCTTTTTTCTTCCATGTGAAGTCCATTTCCCAAGTGAATGCCACTTCCCTGCTATCTCTTGTCCCAAAAATCTATGCCAAGTGTGCAGCTCAGGATCAGTTTTTGCCCAGGACATTTTCAGCCTGGGGAGTGTGAAGAGCCTATGGAAAACTCGTGTTCCCAAGGGCAAAGGGAGATGTTCTTCCCTATCCACCTTCATGTCTTCCTGAATTTCCCAGTCACTAATATATTAGGCACTGGGAGCTGCTGCTTCCAGGTGTCAGGCCTGGGCAGGATTAAGGCTGACACTTGCCCTGAGACTTGAGCAGGAATATTAAATTCCTATTTCTCACTGCCACCCCCTGCTTGGGGAATCCCAGGCAGGGCCAGCAAGGAGATCCTGGCTGTGACCCTGGCAGCAGAGCTGGTGTGAGCAGGGCTGAGCTCCTGTCCCCCCTCCCTGCCCTCATCAGTCCTAAGTGCCACTTAGCCACGTTTGCTGCCTGCTCTTCCCAGCTGGACAGCGATTGCTCCCTGTTGGAGAGCTGTCAGTGAGGGGAGAGCCATCCATCCCGGTGGGAAGTCATCTCACCCAGCAGGGGGACACCACCTCCTCCCAGCCAAAACAACGGGGCTTTGACAGCCTGGATGTATTTATTATCTCCTGTGGGGCAGAAATGCTGCCACAGCAGGGTGGAGGGGATGCTGCTGGGATCTTGGAAGAGAAAGCAAGCAAAAGCACAAAGTGCCAAGGAGCTGCCTGCAGGGAGCAGGAGCTTGGAACTAGGTGGTCTTTTAAGGTCCCTTCCAACCCAACCATTCTGTGGTTGTATGATAAAGGGAAAGGAGGAAAGAAAAAGCTTATTGTAAAGGGGCCATTTCTTTTCTTTATGTGCTTAACTCATCTCCTGAACTTGAGAGCTGAGAAAAGCAAAGAGCAGGTGCAAAAGCAGGGGCTGCAGCTCAGATGGGCCTTGGTGTCAGGCTGGGGCTTGGGGATGGGTTTGGAGAGCTGTCACCTTGTGAGGAACATAAATCCCTGCTCCTTGTCCTTAGGGCTTGGCTTCCCTCTGGCAGGGTTTCACACAAGTGATATTTGTCAGGTGCTTTTTCCAGCCCCAGTTTGGGTCCATTTTGCCTCTGCAAAGTTATCAAAGGACATTTTGACTTTAAGGACAAGCTGTCAGGTTATTTCAGGGGCACAGTTATGTCACATCCTCTGTAGCTGTGCCAGTTCATAGTGCCCATGAGATTTAAACTCAGCCTCATTACCAGGTTTAAACACCTGGGCAGCAGTGGGGGTTGATCAGGAGCCTGGGCTTTGGGAAGACATCAGCTGAATGTGGCTTCTGAGGTGATCCATTCCTTTTACTCCAGTTTTCCAAGAGTTAAATCCCCTCACAAAAATGAAGAAATTTCTCTAGCTGAAAGGTCACTGATGATATTCAGGTGTTTTCTATTAGCAGGTATTAATTACAAATTGGCAGGGCCGGGGTGTGCCCACAGGGTCTGATTTCCCTAACCAGCCACACCTGGGCTCACCCACCTCTGCTCATTGGTCCAGGAGCTGTATTTGAGCTTAGTCCCTCAGTGTTCTTCTGTTTGGCTGGCCTGAGGCCACCTTTGGATTTTTTTCTTTGCAGCTCATATGGAGAATTCAAGTTTAGAAGTTACATATTGGTATAAAAATCCATAATTCTGCAGCTGGGTTGTGTCACCTCATGCCATCAGCAGGTCTCCCCTCACCATGGCTCTAGCAGAGAGGCACAAGCTCCAATGAGAAACAGGTAGGGGTTTATTCCTGTAGTAGTTATGTGCCTGAATTCAGGGTTTGGTTTCCTCCTTCAGCCCTTCTGGCAGCCCAGTCCCTCCACAAGCCCTGGAGTCAGACATGTAAAGAGTGACTCCTTGCTAAGCACAGGTTTTCCTGTGCATGACCAGCCTCAGCCCAGGCTCTGGCACTGTTCTGCTCTGATTTCATCCCTCTCTGAGCTGCTCAAGTGTCAGTGTTCTCCCTCACCCACCCCATGGACCTGTGCTGCTCTTAATGGCTTGTCCAGTCCTGGGTTCTTGTGGCTGTGCACAGAGCGCTCGCCAGGCCATGCTCTTGGTTTCCTGCAGTATTTCATGGCTTTTGATGGCAGCTCAGCTGAGGAGTTATGAAATTCATATCCTCCCTGCCTAGGAGAAAATGGCAACTGGAAGATTTAATGTCCCAGAGGGTTGGTGTAGGAAGTTGTACCAGAGGGGAGGAGGAGGGGGCTAAAGCTTCAGGTCCTTCACAAATCTCTGTGAGTCAGGCTTTCCAAAGGTTGGGAAGCTGTGAATTACCCCAGCTGAATTACGTGCGTGGCACAGTGTTACAGCACTTTTACTGAACTCCCTTCCCCACCAGTAATTCCAGGATTTATGTTTGGAGGAAATGGCCTTTTTCATTTGGTGATGGATTTCATTCACCAGCACACAATGGCTGGGGATCAGGAAAGACAAACTCATGGTAAAATCTATCACCTCTTCCCCTGTGCTGCTTTAGAGTCACAGATTAGGATCAGGTCCTGGTATCCCCAGCAAGCATTCTATTTTGGGGTTTCCAGGGGAGGCTGGAGCTGACCCTTCTCTACAATGCAGGGGATGGAAGCCCATTTTGTGTGATGACTTGCTGCTGCTTGGTGGACACTGACCAGCTTCTGCAGGAGTTTTGGGCTGTAAACATCAACCCTGGTCACTCCCGTGCACAGAGCACATGTGGTGTGTGTTAGTGACGTGCTATGGCTGGACTCCAGTGTCTCAGCTCTGGTACATCTCTAGAGCCAGTCCTTTAATAAGGAAAAAGGTTGGGTGTGGGATTTTGTTTTCCTTTCAATTGTTCTATCCCTCTACAACTAAAGCTTTACCATTTAAATGGCCTAATAGCTGCAGCCTGGCTTTGTGTGGCAGCAGTTGTGGTGAAGCCAAATGTCAAGGACCAGCACAGAGAAGCTGTTGGTTGGGCACATTTTACTGTTTACATGTTTACTTTTTTCTCTTTAAAAAAAAAGGAAAGTGTTCGGTTTTCTAACAAGATGTAATGAAACAGTAGCTAAAGAAAGATTATTAATCTTGTTCCTTTAAAAAGCAAAAGTTTCATCTTCCTCTGTAACTCACCAAAAAGTGTTTTAGAACAAAATTGTCTTGAAGTCCTCAAAAACAGGAAAACAATTTAGAGGAGATGGGAAAAAAAATCAAAATGCTTTTAAAATGAAAGATTTTGTGAGAGTAATTTAGGGAGAGGCAACAAAACCAAATATTAAAAATGCTGATGGTTGGATGGCAACTATTTTTGGACAAAGACCCAGATTCAGTCCTGGAAGAATAGCAACTGTTCTGTGACTCTTGGTGGCTTTTTTTTCCCTTTGTGGATGTGTTGGATACGGAGCTGTCTGGTTGCTTGTTACCAGAGTGATTTTAGTGAAGTTGTTCCTGCCACGTGGTCTGTTCTCATCTGCCTCTTCTGACAGGAGACATCAGAAGCAGGAACAGAAGCTATTCAATCACAGTGACAGAACCCCTTTTTCTGGATGGTAAAATGTTCTGTTGGTTTTGTGTCTATAACTCCATGTTTGTCCCTCTGCTTGTATCCAGCTCCCTTGATGAAATCCAGCACGAAAGGTGGCTCTGGGAGATTCCTGCCCCACCCTGCAGGGCTCCAAGGAGAGGATCCCAGATGCTGTGTGCTTGTTCTGGCTGGTGCATGAGCAAGGAATAGGATCATGGAATATCCTGAGTGGGAAGGGCCCCACAGGGATCAGGGGGTCCAGCCCCTGTTCCTGCACAGACACCCCAGCAATCCCACCCTGGGCATCCCTGGCAGCGCTGTCCAAACACTCCTGGAGCTCTGGCAGCCTCGGGGCCATTCCCTGGGGAGTCTGGGCAGTGCCAGCACCCTCTGGGGAAGAACCTTTCCTGATATCCAAGTTCAACCTCCCTGGCACAGCCCCAGCCTTTCCCTGGCTCCTGTCCCTGCTCACAGGGAGCAGAGATTGGAGCTGCATCCCCTAGTGAGCTCTGCCCTCAGTCTCCTCCAGCTGAACATCCCAAGTGATGTCTGCCATTCCTCTAGACCCTTCACCATCCTTGTAGCTCTCTTTGGAATAGGCAGCTTGGTTGGAGATTGTTACTAGTGGCAGTGCTGTATGATTGAGAAAATATAACTGGTGATACCTACAGATTTTGTCAACCCTCCACCAGGTTGTGTATCCAGAAGATACACACCAGGTGTATCTTCCCAGAAGCTTCACAATTTAGTCTTACGTGCATGGTGTTATCTGCTAGGTGGTGTGGAGGACCTGGAGCTTGTTGTGATAAGGGCTTGACTCCCAAGCCAGGTCCTGTCACTGCTTTGTGCTGCATTCCCTGACCGCAGAACGGGGCTGATCACTGGCTCAGCTGATGACGAGGGTGAAAGGAGAAAGAAGCCTTCTCCTCTGATGTTTGTCAGGATGCTGACCTAGATGTGCACAATCAAAGTGCATGTAAGCTGCAGAGGGCAGTTCCACAGGACAGCATCTGGGCACATCCAGCCTGCCTGGCAAATCACTGCCTGCACCAAGGTTACGAGCGTCACTGTAAGGCAAACGGACTGGCTGCTGCTCCTTATTTCAAGCAAAGATGTGTGGGTTTTCAAGCTCAAATTCCCTGGAAGGATGAAAGGCCATTTGTCAGGTCTGAATCTATGGGTGGCAGTATGTGGCTTCAGTGATGTTCATGGCAGGGTTGTAGTGGATGTGTAATATGTGGGTGTGGGTATGTAATATATGCCTTCTGTCCAATACACTTCTAAGTCCTGTGTCCTTAAAATCCTGTAAGATCCTGTGGAGCTGCTAGATTCCTGCCCTGGCTCCTCTCAGAACAAATTTTGTGTCTGCTTTGTGGTGTTACAGACTTTTTACTCAATTGAATTCATCCCTGTGCTTTTCCCTTTCTTCCTTCTCTGTCCCAGTTTAAGAGGACACTTCCCAGTTCCCTCCCTGGGGACAGGGGGTTTTGTAAGGCATTTTATGGTGTCTTTGGTGTGGATCCTGTCACTCCAAGGGCACTGGCAGCAGTGCTGCTGCTGTGTCTGCACTGTGCTAGCCATTGCTGACATCCAACTTCTCCAGGAGCAGGATGAAATCCAAGTGGCAGGGCAGGCACCTCTGAGGAGATAGCTCCTAACTGTTCCCACAGAGCTTGAAGGAAAAGATTTGACGGATTTACAGAGGAAAATGGCTGAGAAGGGATTGATAAACACACAGAGAGATCTAACTAGTGTGTCCCATCACTCTGAATAGCTGATCATAGCGAAAGTGCTTCGGGGCAGTGTCGGGAAGGATTTGTTGATGTGAACTCGTGTCTCCCTGAGAGAATCATGCTGTTTCGGGGAAGGGACCATCCAGGGAAGGTTGTCGTGAGGAAAAATGCAACGGCAGTGGGGTGGGCATGTGTGTCAAGAGCAGTTGGTGAGATGCTCACCAGTGCTGTCTGAAGGCAGAGCTGTGAGGATGCCAGCCAGGACCTGAGAGCTGAGCGTCCTCCCAGGAGCAGCACCGAGCCAAACCCCACTCCCCAGTGCAGGCACTGGCCCCAGCAAGGTCTCCATGCCAGCCAGGGTCCCAGGCATGAGGAATTCTGTGCTGCAGTCTCCTGTAGATCCTGTGATCAGGCTGTCCTGCAGCAGTCAGCAGTGTGAACTGGCTTGGCTGAGCACCTCTGGTATAAATCACTGCCTGCAGTCCTGTCAGTGCCAGGAAAGGCTCAGGACAGGAGAGGAACCGTGGCGTTGTCAGTGGCCTCCTGAAGGCTCGGTCTGGAAGCAGTCAGAGGTGAGCAGCTCTTGAAGATCTGGGGAAGTGTCCATTGATACATATTAATATTTTGAGGAGGGCCCTGTATCACAAACACCTGGGCTGAAGTGGGGACTCTGCAGTCAGAGTTTGAGCATTAGAGGGGGAGGTGTATGGGGGTGCAGAACTGCACTAAATATTCCCCAACATTCTGCTTTGCCTTTGTTAGAGCTCACATAAACCATTAGATGCAGCACTGGGGAGCTTTACCTTAGGTGAAGGTGAAGTCTTACCTTGTGCAGAGAACATCACTGTCAGGTGAACTGTGTCAGTTTTTAATGTTCCACTTCACCTGCACTGATATATTTTCTTGGACATTTAATGGACTGCACATATATATTCCAAATAGGGCACAATGCTTCAAACATTTTATTAGCATGTACAATATACTTATCAATTCTTCAAAAATATTTGAGCTTTGCACTCAACTATTCTGCATGAGAGTAATCACCAGAGTTCACAATTTCTGGTTGTTAATACAGGAAAAAGATCCAAAGTTCCAGATTAGTAGAAGCATCCAGACAAATATTTGAACCACACTTTGAAGCTCAAAACTAGGAAGTTCTATCCAAGTGCAAGAGAAAATAAGAGCTACTAAGGCTTTGAAACTTTCAGAAGTGTGAATATTTTATGTCTGCTTTAGTAGGAGAGAGGTGTCCAACTCTTGGGAAGCTTTCTCCTAAAGTACAGGATTGCTGGGGGATATTTGTGTGCATCCAAGGAATTTCTGTCTGACAAACTCCAAACTGGGATGGCAGGCAGGGTGATCACGGTGTCGCCTCACCTGGGAAGGCTGAGGTGAGGCAGCCCTTTGTACGGATGTTTTCCAAAGCTTTTGTAAACAAGCTGTGTGTGTCTCTTACACTTCAGGCCAGGCTAACAAATTGAGATGAGCCGCAGCAGCTCTGTGAAAGCTGGCTCTGCACACACAGGGGCCTGAGCTGATTTATCTTGATGTTTGGTTGAATTCTTTGCATTTTGGGTCCCTTCTGTAACCTTTTCACCTCGTTCTTTTTTAAGGTGGCTGCCTGGCTGTTACAATTTATCATGAACGCATCTCACTTCACTTCTGGCTCCTCTGACGGAAGGAACAGCCGGTCTCCGGGAGGTCAAAGACATTATTTTCCCCTAGTCTTTCTCAGTTTCCAGCACATATTTGTCACTTTGAAAAAGCATGAATTCTGGATTTGATGCACTTTAATTGATTTCACCCTCAACAAGTCCAACTGTCCATCAACCTTTCCTTTTTCTTTCCTCTCCCCCTTCTTCACTTCTTTCCTCTGTCCCTTTGCTTTGAGAGTGATGTTTTCACCCGCCTGCATGTTGGAGCTGTCGCAAAGCCCATGACCCTATCAAGGCTTACTTAGCCATTGCTCTCATTCTCCCTATCCTCCAAGTTCAACTTTGGATGCTGAATGAGAATGAAGTAGGAGTAGTGAGTTGTAGAATCTCAGTGATGTGCTCCTTGTCAAAGTAAACGCGGTGGCTGAGGGTCCGCTTATTTTGAGATGACTGTGTACAACTGGAAGTGTGAGGGAACTGATTCATTATATGCTGGCATTGGTATTTAAAACATTTTGCAGAGTTATGGCATAGATGAACATGTTGTTTCTTTCCTTCTGGAAGGATGAGTATTCCTGGTGCTGTGCATATATCCAGGGTTGTGTGGTTGTAATTTTGGTTTGTAAAATGGTGTTGTGCCCTCCTAAATGGAGATCATATCATCATACAGCATCCTGAGTTGCGAGGGGTCCACAAAGACCATCCCAAAAATCCTATGAGATGCCATTACACTCTTGTTTGGGTAATTCTTCTGGCACAAGTGGTGAAACAGAATAAATGTGGGCGTGTAAGAACTTGTCCTTTGCACAGAAACCCTCAGAGTGTGTCCTGGAAACCAGGGCCTGCTTCTGGTGGAAGCTAAAAGAGTCACAGGTGTTCTCTGGGTGCTGACATTACATCCTGGATACTGTCAGGACATGGGGCAGGAGCAGGCATTCCAAGTTCTCTGCCCTGTTATGAGGTGTTCACCGGACCTCTGCAGGGAGAAGGGTGTTCCTGGGGCCCTTGTGCGCTCACTGAGGAGCTCCAGCTCTCAGGGTGAGCAGAACAGGCTCATGACACATTGTGTGAGTGTCCCGGGCTGGAGCCAAGGGATCCAGCCCCCTTCCGCCGTGTGCCCGGCGCGGGGCTGGGAGCGCACCGGGAACTGCTGTCCATGGTCCTGGGTGAGCAGCAGGAGCGCTGGGGCTTGGGGACAGCGTGGATCCCTCCCTCCCTCCCTCCCTGGCAGCTCTGCAGATCAAGGTTTGCCAGCGTGTGTGGGCAGGGAATGGAGTTCCCGAGGGCTTCCTCTGGTGCTTGTGAGCCTCACGCTGACCCTTTCCTTCCTTCCCTCTGCCAGAGGGTGGTTCAGATGAGCTTTTAGGAAAAAGCTCTTTCCTGTGAGGGTGCTGAGTCCCTGGCACAGGTTTCCCAGAGAAGCTGTGGCTGTCGCTGGCCCTCTGGAAGTGTCCAAGGCCAGATTGATTGGAGGGTTTTTAAAAGGCATGTAGATGTGGCACTTGGAGACATGGGTTAGTGGTGGCCTTGGCAGTGCTGGGGGAATGGTTGGGCTCTATTTTAAAGGTCTTTTCCAACTTTAATGATTCTGTATTCTACCAGGAATAGTACAAGCTTGGGGAAATACTGCCTTAAGGTAATTCAGCATGACAATAATGGAGCTGGAAATGCCACAGATCCAATCTTCCTATCCCTGGGATGTACCTCAGGAAAGTAGCAAACACTAGCACTGCATTGTGGCTGCTTATAATAAAATACTGGGGTTCTGGGAGTGTTCAGCTGATATTGGAATAATTTGAAGATGTAGGCTCAAGTTTGATGCTTGGATTGGGATTTAAATAAAGATCAGCCTTAAAACAGTCCAGTCCAAGTCCAGTGTTGAGAACATCCAGCTCTAGGAATCCCTTTGCTGGAAATCTGGAGTTTTTAAGCAGTTTTTGTGTTCCCTGTGCTGTATCAGGCAGCGCTGAAGAAGCCCTTGCCCCTGAGCAGCCCCACATCCTCAGACAGCTGCACCTTCCTCTCCCAGCCCAACCCCAGGAGCCAGGGATAGGAATTTTCCAGGTGATTCCAGGGAGGCTGCACAAGCCATGGTTTGGCAAAGCTGTGGAAGTATTCAGAGCACCAATTTAAATAGGCAAATGAGGAGGAGGAGGCAGAGCTCGTGAGAAGGCGATGCAGAACAATTGCATTACACAGTTGATAATTTCAGTCTGAAGAGCTCTGAATTCCCCTCTGAAATCTTCTCTTGGGAGTCTTAGTTCTTAAGTTAAATGACTAATTAGAGTCTGTTCACACCACAGATCAGCCAAGCAAAGCAAACTCCTAAGAGCTAATGCTGCTTACTTGCTCCCAGAGGAAGCTGAAGGTCTCAGGATCTTGCAGAGGCATTTTCCCCCTGGAAATCTGTGCCTGCTAGCAGAAGAATTTAGGTGGGAGGGAAGCAAAGAAAAATCCTCCCCCATCAAACATCAATCCTTCTCTCAGGCCAGTTTCTTTGCCTTGTTCTTCCTCTGCTTGAACATCTTGTTTAGTGGGAGAAAAAATGTGAAACTAAGTGCCCCAAGCTGAGAGATGCTGGGCACCCAGCAGGACCCTGACCTCCCTTGTAGGTGACAAATTGGATGGCATGTCAGCTGAGGGGGGAGGGAGGGGCACGGCTCACAGGGAGGGGGGTAAAGTTACAAAGCCAGCATCTGTTCTCAGGGTCTGTATGGGCTGCAGGCCTCGCTATTCCCTTCAGGAAGGCACGAGGGAATGGCCTGGGGTCACTGCAGGACAAAGCTGGGGGTGTACACAGGGAGGGTCTGAGGGGATATAGAATAGGTGCAAATATAGAAAATAGATCCTGAGGGGGTGTTGTGGAGGGATAGAAGGTGGAGAATGAATCTTTAAAAGAAGCAATGATGTGTTCATCTGTGAGGTTCAAAAATCTGGGTTTGGTTTTCTTATCTCAAGGCCCCACAGGAATTAGTCATCCCTGAGTAATGGAGGGAAGCAAAGCTGTTATTCATCCCTCCCAAAGTTTCTCCTCTGATCATCTCCTACATTCATATCCTCTGTCTCTGACTTGTATCTTCCTTCCTATTTAGCCCCATGAGCCACTGCAAGAAAAAAACCTAAAATCTCATTGGACTGGCAGTCTGAAATGATCTGGAGAGATAATGTGCCACAGCTTCCATGGGGGAACAAGAGCCTGGGCAATGGCATCTCTCCTGCGTTCAGCTGTGAGGTTTTGCCCCAAATGCCTTCTGTTATCTCAGCAGACCCCATCCTTTTTGCTTTAATTGATTCTGTCTGGCTTTAATCTGGTGCGAGAAGAGACCTCCCACCGTGAGCACTGAGAGCTGGTTTGTGCACGGGGAGCGGTGAGAAGCACGAGATTATTTTATTGAAAAAGGGACACAAGGATGTTTTGGGAAGGACACTGCCTTCTGTAAACCCATTAACAATTGAAATGAGGCCTTTCACTTCCACACAGGGTTTGTGGGAAGTGCTTGTACAACTGGAAAGCAAAGTGCTGTAATAATAATTTTGCATTATAGCCATGGTGTAGGGTTTCCTGAAGTCATCCACAGTTGGGTTGGCTCCGTGCAGTGGGAGACAGTCCTGGAGACCTGGCCCTTCCCTGGGGATCCAGAGGAAAGGAGAAGGGAATGGCTTTGGCTGTGCTCACCCCAACTACATGATGACAGAGATGAGAATAAATAGGGAAGTTGAAAAGGAAACCTCCATTGTGAGTCTGCTCAGCCAAAATCTAAACAGTTGAGGAGTTTGTTTTATCAAATCAAAATATTTTGGTTCAGTGGTGGTGTTGGCTTGAGTCAGTATGTCTGGGCTGATACAGTGCTGGAGAAACACTCAGGTTTGAGGGGCTGGATCCCTGTCACTGGGGGATCAGGAGCCCTGAAGCCATAGGAGAGGGGGTGCCGCTCATTGTGGCTGGGTGGGAGCAATCCCATTTCCCATGACTTGAGTTTAGAGTGTTCAGATATTTTTATAGCCTCTCCAAAGATGTTCTGGGGCCCTGTTGCGTCTGATTAAATGTGCTGTTGCTTGGACCACAAATAAGGGTTTTAAGTGGAATGGGAAGATTTTTGAGGAAAAAGAGATGAAGTAGTATGGAGAGTTAATTATCTGCAAGCCCCTGAAATTGCATGAGTAATAAAATATAGATAGGTACACACTTATTCCTATCATGCCATTAATGGTCTGTGTCTCTGTGTCAGGGAATGATGTGTAAGACAATACTCCAAAATACAAAATTACTGCCTGCCAGCATTGAAGGCTCAGCTCTTTGGAAGTGTGGTCTGGTTGAGGTGTTCTTCCAAAAGTATCTTGCCAAAAAACCTCGTGCTGAGAATCTAAGAACAAAATAAATAAAGCAGTCGAGGTTAGGCTGGAATAGATCCTGTGTAGCTCCTGACCTCTCCCACATCTCCCCCAGATACAATTCCCAGTGAGAGCTCACTGTTCTTCTAAAAAGATTTGTTCCTACCTGTTAGTTTTGCTTAGGATATGATAGAAACTGTAGCAAATAATACCATGTATTTTTTTGTTCAAATACTTCCTCCCTTCCTTCTGTCTCAGAAATCTTCCTATTTTTTAATTTGTTTCTAGCCATTCCACCTGACCCTTCAATATTTCCATATTTCAAGGAGATTTAGCCAAATGGTGTGTTTCCATGGCTGATATACAGCAATAATGCAGGGTTAATACCTAATTAGTTCCCAGGGACATTGAGCTTTTCATGGATATTCAGTAACAAAAGCAACAACAAACAAGCTGAATTCCTAGGTCTTAATTCATCGGGAGGAGGAAATAGAAACCTAAAAATGCAGGAATTATTCAGTGCAGTCTGAAAACCCTGTTCTTTCTCTCATGAAGCCCAGAGGATGCTATAGTAGCTGACAGGGGAAATATAACCTCCTCCTCCTCCTCCTTCCCTCCCTCCCTTTAGGGGGGCTGTAGATGTGTCTGCATTTGCAGCCCTGACATCTCCAAACAGGAAAATTCCCAGTCCTGCAACACACTTTAAACAGCTCCCTGCCCATTCCCCTCCCCGCCTCAGCCCCCAGCCAACCTGACCCTGGGTTTTTTTGACATCCAGCCATACCTGATCAGTCGTATCCCCAGCAGCTGGATGTGATCAGAGCCGGCCTTCCACCTCGCAGGATGGCGAGCATATGGGCCTGGGGGCTGCAGCCATTATGTTCCTGAGCACTGAGCTTGTCTGCCCCTGGCTACAGAGGGTTTTTTCCCCTCTCAAGCAATCGCAAATAAACCTTTCTGATAAGTAGCAGCAAAACAAACAGGCCCTTTGGCTGTGTAGGCAGTGAGAAGGAGGGAGGAATAAAAACCTGACCCAATAACAAAATCTTTGCTGTGTTTAGGCAGTGCCTCTAGGAGGGAGAAAGTCTGCCCTCAGCCAGACAGAGCTTTTCTGGGAGCGGGAATGGTTTCAGGATGATTACCCCTCAGTGCTCTACAGCCAGGCCCTGGTGTGGGAGCTCCAGGGGATGGAGAAGGTTTGGCTCAGAGAACAGCCCTGGAGATCATCTGGACCATCAAAGGGAGGCTTTGAGCTGACCCATGTGGGCAGTCTGGCCTCAGCCTGGAAGTGAAGGGGTTGGAGGCTGAGAGGTGTGAGGGTCCTCAGCTGTGAGCAGGAGGGTGGTGCAGTGCAAGAGTTCAGGACAGCTCTGGGAAGAGTCTGGGGACAATCTCAAACAGCCTCTCTACATCCTTTCCTATTTCTAAAAAATTTCCAAAAAGTGCCTCAGATTCTGGAAGGGCTCAACAGGAGGCCTCTGGCACTTGGCAGACAATGTCTTGGGGCTTCACTGTGGTGCTTGGAGGGCTCAGGAGGGGTCCCTGAGTGTCCTCACCACCTTAGTGTGATCTGAGCCCCGATCCCTGTGGAAAGCTTGAGGCAACAAAGGGATTTTTGCATAGAATGTATTATAGGAATGCTGGAGTTTACCTTCCTTTCCTGTACACCAAGGAAATAAGGCTTTGGTCTTCCCAGGAAATCCTGGCTTCCCAAAACTGTGTAGCTTAGAGTATGTGCATGCCAGGGCATCCAGATTGGACCTGACATAAAGCTATGGTCTAAGCCCAAGGATGGGAAGAACACCCACATTTTGTTCTCTGAGCCCTGCTAATACAGCACCCACTGTTGCTGCCCCATGTGCGTGGTGCTTGGATACCCAGGGCCACAGAAACCTGTGGATGAGCAGACAGGGGAAAAGCTTGCTCCAAGATGTTCAAAAAATGTGATGAAAGCTGATGAACTAAAAAGCTGCCTGCTAACACAACCCTTTTCAGGCCAGGAGTCTGTTCTGGGTAGATGTCCCATTTCTCCAGGGTTCCTTGAGGGGCTGAGCCTCTCCAGTGCACTCCCAGCTGGTGGTCACCACAGTCAATAAACGATGGACTTTTCCACTTGGAAGGCAGACCTGTGAGGAGCCTTTGAACCCTTTGCCTGGGCAGATATGGCCAAGGTTATCACCCTGGCAGGGCCGTGGTGAGCTCGGACTCTACCTTGAAACACTGCCAGAGTCTGCACCAGGCTCGTGCTGAGAGGCTGGGAGCACATGAAGGGCCCGTGGCCCTGTCACCTCGGGCTGACAGGGGCCAGAGCACTGATGTCACCACAGTTACAACAGATGGTACCAGGGACAATCAGCTGTTGCTGCCAATGCCTTTTCTCCTTCAGCAGGACTCACTCCTGTGGAGTGATGGAGTTCTGCACCCCTAAACACTTGAACTGTAGAGAGGAGCTGGAAATCTATCTGGAAATGCATTCAGAGAAAGGAAAATGAGAGTATAAGCCATGGGATCAGCATTAAGTGGGCCAAACATCACTGTCAATTATGTCCCAAGCAGCTCCATTGAAGCAAACATTAATTTTAGATTAATTGTAGATTTATGCCAGCATTTCTGAGAGTCATTCCTGGGACAGAGCCAGTTCTGGTAGAGGATTAATCTTGTTGGAAAACTCCCTCTTGTTCTCTGCTTGGTGTCTGACACTCGCACATGCACACAAACAAACCTCGGTGACCCTCTGCCAAGCCAGTTAACTAACGGGGAATTTGGGGATGTGAAACCTTAGCTTCCCCTCCAGCACAGCCCTGCATCTGCCACAGCCCTTTTGGAAGGCAGGACAAGCCACCTGCTACTTGTTTTGCTCAAAGAGAGAATGTCTGTTGGGCACATAGGAAACAGCTAATCTGGTCCCATGGGAGGGAGCAGCCATTTGTCATTCCCACAGTCTCCAGAACAGGTTCTCAGCACCTTCTAGGGCTGGGGATTTTCTCTGGGTGTTCTTCCACCTGCCAGTGGTTCAGTGGTTGGCTTTATCTGGTGGGGGGATTTCTCAGACATTGGCATTTGGTCATTCACCTCAGGACAGAAAAATAGTGTGTGTTCTATTCCCACACGTGCATCCCTTCTCAGCTTCAAAATTAATGGAGAAAGGCGTGCATTGCATGTGCTGGGTGCATGTCTCCTTTACACATGGACATGTTTTATGATGGGGCATTTGTGCAGTTCAAGGTCTTCCAGAAACATGGATCTTCTCTAGTTCTGACTTCTGTCTGTGCCTTAAGGATGGTCAATGGCATCCTCTCACCACATTTCCACGGTGTCATTGTACTCCATGTGACACTGGAGTGTGATTTATTTATTTTTTTTATTTTTTTTTTTTTAATCCAGATTTGCCAGTGGAAGTGCTCCAGATGCTTCCCTGAAGTCTCAGCAGCAGAAGGGCTAGTTTAAAAGTCCTGAGCAGCAGGCTGGGAACACCTCCTTTCCTTGGGAACAAACAGGCTGGGAATGCCTCCATTCCTCTGGAACAGCAGGCTCAGCTCTGCAGCCAGCTCAGCCTTTCCCCTTTCTGAGGGCAATAAATCGAATACCATTCCATTTACTGCCTGCCCACAAGTTTCAAGTGGAAGAGGTGAAGCAGAGCCTGAGGCCAGCCACTCCATGGGCACAAATCAGTGTGGCTGTGCTGGCTTACTCCAGCTGTGGGGCTGGCCCCAAGGTTTTGTGTTCACATTATCCTGAGGCTCTTATTGCAGGAATGCAGGGTTGGCCAGATGTGCTGGTCACAGCATCCCCTCCCAAAGTGACAGGGTACCAGCTGCCACTCCCTGCCCTTGGAGCAGCCTGGTGTGGCCTGCCTGCAGCACGGAAGGTGCTCTGGGATCCTTGGGAATAGCCACCAGCACATCAGTGCTAGCCCTGTTCCAGGACACGACACTGAGAGAATAAGAGCAGTCGAGGAACTTTTCCCCCTTCGACGTGATGTTCATCTCCTCCCCCAACCCAGCATATGGAATTCTGGATCACATTTCTCTCTCTTGCCAATAAATATTGCAGATTTATTGCTCTCTACCTGGTGGGTAGTAAATTGCATTCCACCTCTGTTATAAGGCTCTTTGCTATGACACAGCCTTGCAGCTCCATTAAACCTTAATTACAGCAACACTTCATTGGGTTGCTGCGATGGCCCGAGTGCCATTGCAGTAGGGAGGATGTATGGCCAAAACAGGCTGATGCAGAGGGGCTTTGTTTTGTTTTCTTTCCTCCCTTTTTAAGGATTATGGAGAGTTGAGCCCAGCAAGGGGAATAGAGGGAGCCTTGGCCTCCTGCTCTCTGCTCATTTTCCACAACAGCTGGCGTCACCTGCCACAGCCCAGGCAGCTCCTCTGCACCCTGATGAAGTGCTCAGCAAACAGCCTTGCAGGCTGCCTCTAGTAAAGGGCTGATTTGCATTTGTGCTGATGGGATGCATCCCAAAGCCAGAGTTATCCCGGGGTTTCGTTGCGTGAGGAGCGTGGAGCTTGGCCAAATGGAACACCAGGAGCAGCACGGCACTTGGATTTCTATAGGCTGCAGCAAGACAAATTTAAGAGCAGCTCTGCTGGTGTGCAGGCTCGTCCTGCAGCAGGCAGCTTGCTCTGTGTCAGCTCAGGGCACTGTTTCTGGTGCCATCTGTCCTTCCCTGCAGCCTGTGACAGGGAGTGAGGCTTTGCTTCAGTAACCTCTGGCTCCTGAGGCAGCTCCTTGGAGGCCAGTGCTGCCTGGTGTGTTCCCCAAGCTCCTCTGGCCCTCCTGCCTGAGGCCCCAGGGAAGGCTGGGAGAGGGTGGAGGGCTCGGTGCCTGTGGACACTGCACGTGTAGATAGATGGTTCTCATTTCCCCTCTCCAGCCAGGCAGGGAGGAAGCACAGCTTGGAGCTCCCAGAGAGGCTGCCTGTGCTTCCTCCACACCAAGGGGGTTCTGCTTGGCCTTATGGCTTTTGTTTTGGAGATCCTTCCTGGTGTGGAGTGAGTCCCCCAGCCCCTGGTGCAGGTTCAGTCGAGTGTGCATTGTACAGACACCTCTCCTCGTGTGGATGCTCGGGCCTCTCTGTGGGATGATGAGCTAACCAGAAGGCACTAATGGCTACACCAGCAACTTGCATTTGGTGCTGTTCCAGAGCTGAGGCTGTGTTGTCAGATCTGCCCAGGACAAGGACTGTTTCATTCCCAGTGTGGAAATTATTTGCTTCCTTGGCCATACTGGTGTGCTACCAAGTGTCAGATGTGGAGTAGCTATGCCAGTAACCAAAATGTTGGGATTGTCCTCGGGATTCCCTTTACCTTCAGCACTGCTCCAGACTGTTGTGGTCTCTCTGTGTAATGCTCACCACCCTTGTAAGTCCACTCATGTGAGCAAGGATGTTTATTTGACTGCATTTTACCACACCTGTAAGTTTATCTGGTCAAACATCCACACAGGCTGTACGCAGGTATCCACAGGAGCTGCAGATAGGCAGCACAGAAATCTCCTACACCACTGCTAGTGCAGAAAGCAGGAATCAGCTAAAATCCTTCAGCAAATTGAGTTGCAATGAACAACCAACACATGGGAAATACTTTCCTATGGAGAGCCTGTGCTTGAGCCTTGTTTGTCCTTATTCTCTCCTCTTGCAGCAACCTTGAGATGTCAGACATAGGAAATGTGGCCACAGCTGTTTATGCACTTAGAGGGTTTTTTCCAAGGCCACATCCTTCTATTCTCCCGTAGATTACTTGAAAAGATGCTGTGGGGACTCCAGCAAGCCAAGGTCTATGTGCCATGTGAGGGTGTTGCCAGGAGATTGGTTTCAGGAGATTCTGAACGTTTGAAAACTCAGAGAACTCACTTGCCGGTGGGTCTTCCCCCTCTCCTTCCTTCCCTCTCAAACCGTGTGCTGCAAGACTTTTTGCTGGAGATTAATATTTCTAGCAGAGCCACATTATTCAAGCCATAGTCACACAGGACAGCATGTATTAGGAAGGAGATGGGCACCTCGTCCTTTTCAGAGTGTTCAGCTTCTCTGGGATGAATTTTCCCTCACCAAAGTCTTGTCCAACCCTTGACTTCTCTTTCTCTATAGAGTAGTTAAGTCATGCCCACCCTAAGTGGCTCAGAAAATACCACTGCATCTTCTAGGAAAATGTCATCACCTTGATGAAAACTGATTATTTTTCTATGTGAATATGGAGAAGTTTTGAAGAATCTTTGTTTTAAATAACATGAGGGAAATAGTATCAGAGGTCTGACTTTGGTAGGTGCAAATCTTAGGAGTTTGTTCTTTCTCCTTGGAGGGAAAACTTTTAATTTTTAAAATGCAGTTTATGTGTAGACAAATTAAAGATGTGTAAAATTAAATGGGAATGTTTTGAAGGGATTGAAAATATATATTTTGATTAACTGAAATGAATTTAAAAATAAATCATGGGGAAAATGAAATGTTGGTGGAGGATTTTTTTGGTCCTCATTTGAAATGAAAAATAATTTGCAATCTTGACACTTTTCATGGAATGAAAAGTCCATTTGCTGATTAAGGTCCAGATTCATCCTGGTTAATTTCAGGCACTATTGAACTGCTTAGTGCCAAAGGGCACTTTAATCCACCTGAGGTTTAAATTGCCCTCTGGAGGTACCTATTTCTTGCACTGATAAGACAAGGACAACGTGACTGCTCCAGCGTGTGCCTGAGATAACTGCCTGAAGCTGGGTGCCATGGGCAGGGTGCAGTGCTCGGCCTTGTTTTGGTGACCTCTCTGGTCCCTTCCAGCCCAAACCATTCCATGATTTTATGATTCTGGCTGCTCTACATTCTGCTCTTCTGTTTGTGTGCCCTTCCACCTCTCCCCTCAAAAGCTGAAGGATTTGGGCTTGGGTTGGATTCAGGAGCTGGACTCCATCATCCTCCCAAGTCCCTTCCAACTCAGGGTATTTCATGATTCTATGACTGATTTTTTTAATTTTTTTTTTTTTCTGAAGTGGGGAGGAGATTTCCACTAAAACACAATTTTTTATCTACTTGTTTCCTCTTGGTGAGGAAAAAAAATCTGGAGGACTGGCAGGATGACACCTGGTGAAAAGGAAAGGAGCAAGATTTGTGGTTAAGATTGAGGAGATCACTGGTCAGGTTCATTCTCTTTTAAGCACCACATCCCCCGACTCTCAGCTCCCACATCTGGTTGGCAGAAGGCAGGTCCTCTCCAACAGCTCCTCCACAATGTGCCAAACACTCTGCTCCATCTTTAGCACTCCTTGACCCAGAACAAAAGTGAAAATACTTGGCATGCCAGGAAAGGTTAACAAATAAATGACGCACAGCCTTCTCCTCCCCATGACATCACTTCCATGTGAGAGAACAATCTTTGTGCCACGCCTGGCAGTCTGGTGACAGCAAAGGGACACATCTGCTGCAAGTCATTTCCCATGCTGGGATTCCACAGTGCTGTCCTGCCTGGCTGGGTTCTCCCCTCCTCTCTGGGCTGAGGATGTAACCTCTGGGAGGTCAGGTCTGGCTCACTTTGTCACCAACCAATGTCATCTTGTCTTGTCCGTGAGGACTTCGGTCACCTGTCCACTCAGCCAGATGGTTTTGCTTTAGGTAGCTGGACATTTGGGAAGTATTATTTCTTTTGAATATGTAGCCCGTACTGTTCTTATTTTGGGCTCATAAAACATAATGAGATATGGGTCAACATTTAAGCTGTGTGGAAAATTACATCCTGGAAGACTTTGTGGAGCCAAAAGCTTATCTGGTATTAACTCTAATTATACCACTGAGCTGTGCAGCAGACACTGTGGCCTTGGACTAAGACCTTATTCTCCTTCTAGAGAGCTCTCCATGGCTCTTATACCTGGTGACATGAGCAGCGTTCATCCTCTGCTGCATTTTCCTGGGAATCGTGGGATGCTTTGAGTTGGAAGGGACCTTAGAGATGATCTAGTTCCACCCCGTGCCATGGACAGGGACACCTTTCACTAGATGCAGCATCTCACTGCACTGAGATTGTCTCACTTCCTTGTCCACCATGGAGCATTTTATTCACCTTTCAAGTTTCCAGGAACTTCTTCCAGCTCGTTGCAGCAGCAGCTCCTTGGCAGAGCGTGTAGGATGTGTCTGAGTGTTTCAGTCTGAGCATCGCAGGCGTGTGCTCTTGGAGGCGAGCAGGCAGCATAGGAGGCTGGGGGAAGGAGATTAAAATACAGTTGTTGGCTGATACGAAACAAAAAAGAAATGCTTAAATAAACCACAAATTACAAAAAAACAAAACAAAAAAATCCCTGTGAGAAAGAAAGAAAGTAACAAGTCTGTGGAGGATGGATGTTTGGAACTGTTCAGCCTAATGCATGCCAGATTCCTTCTCTCCTTGCTCCCCCCACCCCCTCCCGCTGCCTTCCCCTTACCAAATGCTGTCTGCTAAACTTCTGAAACACCCTTTGCCTTTTTGACCCTTCAACTCATCTTGAACTTAGGAAAAATTGGGGAGGCGGGAAGGACTCGTTGCCTGCGCAGTGCATGTGGCTGTGCCGGGGCAGGGAGTGTGTGCCGGGGGTCTGCGAGTGCGGGGGGCTGACATGGCTTTGTGTGCTTGATGCTCCCCTGAAAACAATTTGTATCCTGTTAATAGAATTAGTAAATATTTGTAGCTCCCTTTGAAGCCTGTGTCCCCAGGGGAAGTCTGGGGATGGGGGGGCGCAGAGAAATTAGAGACAAGTTACTGATTTAGTCATCCTGGCCCCTTCCCCCGCCTCTCTCTTTCATTTTCCCCTCCTTTATGAAGACACTAAACAGACAAATTGGAGGTTTGAAACGAGGCTTGTGCTGGTGCCTGCGGAAGTGACAGGGGTGGTACTTGGGGGGCTGAGAGCTGCTAATGCAAAAGCCATTCACGTCTAATGACCCCATTTGGGAGCCAAGTTCCTGAGGGCTGGGGGGCCCTGCCAGGCGCACAGCCCTGCAATGGGCAGGTGCCCAGGGGGCTGGCAGGGATCTCTGGAAGGGCACTGGCCCATGGCACATGGGGGAGACTCCAGACAGCAGGATTTGCCTCATGGGACTG